TCCGTTTTCAAAATGTTTTCCACCCACACTAAAACGAAAAGCTGGCGTCTTCAAATTCCTACGGTTTGAACAGCGTTTTCGAAAAGCTCCGTTTTCGTGACGTATTAGTGTGGACGATAAGTCTAACCGTAGAAATAGAGCTGCGTTTTCAAATTTCTCCGTCGTAGTGTGAAAGGGGTTTTAAGTCTGTCGGTGGCGCTAAATTCTGCTATACAGGCTGATACGGAAGCGACTAGAAGTGTTACTCCATCACAGGTCACATCCCCACCCCACCCTCCTACATTTTGTGCTCCTGAGTGGAGAGGGGTGCTGTGAGAATACAGTGTCTTGCCCAAGAACACAACACAATGATCTCGGACAAGGTTCGGACTCAGATCACTGCACCCCTTAAAATTCAAATATCATGTAATGTTGTTTCAACCTTTCATAACAACAGCAAAACAACGCAAAGCGATTCATAACAAAAATGTATACCAATCCCCTTTCTGTGGCAGCAAAATAGAAAGTCTCACCGGAAAAGATTCAGATACCAGGAGGTCCCCATCGACAAAAGAGGAATCAATTGTGGATCTTCATTCTTTAAAGATTTGCTTTGAACAATCGATAACAACTGTTTAAACTCTTCAAAGCTCAGGCGAGGCGCCGGCGCCTGAAAGAAACAATAAACAAGTCAGATAGTGAAGCAAGGGACCCTTTTTTTTCAAACTTGATATTTCCCTTGCTTCAAACGAAATACTTAAAGGAGCTACGTCACGGTTTGTGTATCTTGAAAGGTTTGGCCTAAATTTTTCAAGTTCGTGGTTTGTAATCCGTGTCAATCTTCTCCATCCTTAACCATCCTTGTTCCTTTATGGTTTATTATTATCTCTTTGGTGTTTTTCTATCGAAGTTAACTTCTATTTTCTAGTTTCCTTCAATTTAAAGCTAATTTTGTATATGGCCAAAATAACTCAAAACAACGTGACTGAGCTGCTTTAAGCTCTCCCTTGGACTAGAAGAAGCTGCAAACTTAATGGCCTTGTGCTAGAGTGCACAAGAGTCACAAAAATTCTACCTGTTCTATTCGTGGGTTCAGCGAATCAACACTCTTCATCCAGCTCTGTTTCAGACTCGATTCTGAGCTGGATTTACGTATAGTACTCTTCCGCCTCGCTTTCTTCGTTCCATCTTTCTCCTCCTCCTCAGTCTCCCCAGCAAACAAACGATGCCACAGCAAGTCTCGACTGCAGTGAGTTTGGGCCCGACAGGCTATGCGCATGAGATGATCACGTGCACGCTGGAAAGCTTCCGTGAGGAGCCTGGATTCTCGTTGGGAGCTATCGTCAACCGAAGATTCTTCGTAGTTTGTCGGAAGTGGCAACAACGTTGGTAGTGATTCCATGCGTTGCTCTGCGATGTTTTCGTCGGAGCGCGATGAGGCCACGTTGAAGAACGGGGAACTATTCTCGTAACCCATTGTGAACAGGGAGTGGGGTGTGGAGGCTGACCTGTGGAACTCCCCAGGGGAGGGAGGGTTGGGTGCTCCCAGGGAACCGCCCGAGCTGTTGCTAGGTAGAGTGAATCTGACACGTGACCCTAAAAGTGAAATAAAGATAGCTTAATTTTGTAGAAGATCAAAAATACTCGACAAAGAAAAGAAACATTTGGAAAATGTTTGGAAAAATCTAGACCTTCCGGTCGAAATTGCTTACTACAATTAGTTTGAGTTCATGAATCAATGAAAAGTAGATCTAACTACCAAGTCTGTGAATCAAACCCCATAAGTGTGTGAATAATCAAAAGAAAGCTATTGAGTAGTAATTGCACGTGTTACTCAAGTATTTATTATCCTGTACAAGGTGGTTCTAACTTTTAAGTCTGCGAATCAAACCCTGGTGTGTGACCATTCAAATGAAAGCTATTGAGCAGTACTTTCATGTGGTATTGTTTGCTTTTCGATATTTTTAAAAATGAAATTTCGAATTTCTTAAGTGCGTTTTTTAACTTTGCCGCTAGTCGCAGTCAAAAACATTGAAAAATCATTGAGTACCACTCAGTGAATACCTTTTCCTGGTTCTGAATCCCCTCCTTCTGGTAATGACCCCTTTCTGGCCCCGGCCATAGTCGACAGCGAGCTTGACGAAGGAGACTTCTTTCTCAGCCTTAAATCCAGCGTCAATTTAGGAAACAACTCCCGCCGACTCGTCATCAACACAACATACTCCATGGTAAACACACCATCTTCCATCCAATCCTTGAGCGACCCGACAAAACTGATGTCATACTCGTTGTTGTCTCGGAGAATGTCGAACGTCTTCGTGGGAGAATTTCCCGCTTGCGTCAGAACTCGGTCGGTGCCTAGCAGCACGTGACTGGATTTGGTGGTGTTGGATTTTTTTAAGGGAAGCGTAGAAAAGTCGTATTTAGAAGCGTTTTTCACCAGGTAGTTAAACACAGCTTGGGGAGACAGGCCTGGCTGACAAGGTACTGAAATATCGCCTAAAAGAAAGGTAAAACGGTTTGAAACACTTTTTTTTTCATCAAATAATCTTCAACTGTTTTTGTCCAAATTAGTTGGGTAGCAAGCTCAGTTATATCTGGTACGACTTCCACAAACATCAAGAAACATCAACATAAAAAGCAGTAGGTAAGTACATGTAAATCTATAGACGGAAAGGTTCAGTTTCAAAAACGTGTGGAGATAAAGAAACACTTAAATTATAAGGCGGATTTGCCGTTGAAAAATTGGCAGGCATACAGGAAAAACTAATTTCTATCAGACAGTTGGTGTACATAACCAGGTCCGGGTTGTTCAAAAGCCAGTTAACGCTAACCCAGGATTAAAAGTTAACCGAAGTTTTAATTTTTCTAATATAAATATTTTTTTATTGCTCATGTTTTGTGTAGTTTGAGATTACACAAACTCAAAACTGAAGGATAATCAATATAAACAGAAAACTCCACTGAAAAGTTACAAAACTGGAATCACAATTTTCGCTAATCCTGGGTTACCTTATCTGGGCTTTGAACAACCCGGCCCAGGGGCGTATATTTATTGAGAATTTTTTTTTTTGTCTAATACGTTGGGATTTTTTTGATGTGTGCAGTGAATTGGGGGTTATTTTAGAAAGTGTACATTCGGTGTACAATCGGAATATAGTGAAATCCGGGTGGGGATGGGTGGGGGGAAATATAAAAAGGACGGGGGTGCTCGTCGGAAATTTTGAAAAGAACCCCAAAACCGCCTTTTTAGCCCCTAAAAGGTACGACGAGTACCCCCTTCCTTTATATAAGGGAGTNCCCCCCCCCACCCCGGGAGTAAAATATTACCGTTGCAAAGGCGGTTTCTGGCAAACAAGGGGCACTTCGAGTACTCCAGCAGCAATCCTTTGAGCATGTTTGTAACTCCGTAGCCCTTGTTGAAGATTCGCTGACTTCCATTCAAATACAGTTGAGCTTTGCACAGGTGAAAGTCATAGTTGAACGAGAGAAGGTGGATGTACTCTCTGTAGCGATTGCAGTCTTCAACAAACATGCGACACATCTGTAAAATAGGCAGTAAATACAGCAGTTCATATGAGAGGCTTACTGCAATATCAGTACATTGTGAATTATGCAATAAGTCAAATTATTCTCGCATTTTGATTGGTTCATACTTAAACAGAAAAGCTGACAATTTCCTTCAGCCTGATCATCTGCGATTATATCCTGTTTAGAGGTAAGCTTTGACTTTTTTCCTGTTTAATGCGTCACTTATAACTTTCATTTCCTATCTAATCCGCTTGGCTAAAAACCCGAATCGATAAAATGAAGTTCCTCTTAAGTTCTTTTCCGAGTCTATTCATCATATTGATGGGGAGCTATCTAGTCAAGGGCAAGCTACGTGTAAAGTCAAAACAGACCCAGTACTTTTCATAGCTTTTCATTTTTACAGCTTAGCTATTTTATTTGTTAGAAACTTTTTATCACTGATGTAAATTTTTAATGTAAATTTTATTTTTAATAACATTTTTTACTGTAAAGCGCCATGAGCCATGGATATGGCGCTATACAAATCTATTATTGTTATTATTATTATTAATGGAAGCGATCAAACAAGTTTTGAACTTTTGAATTAGTGTGCTCACCTGTAAACCAACTGTCTTGCCTGAAGGAATCTGAGAGCATCCCAGAACATACAGTCGCACCACAAAGAAACAACCCTGAAGAACAGCAAAAATTCAGTTAGTCAGACTTCCGAACTCCACCGACAACTACCGAACACGACCAACAACTACAGAACACGACCGACAACTACCGAGCACGACCGACAACTACCGAGTCAACCGACAAAAACCGAACCCGACCGACAACTACCGAGCACAGCCGAACACGATCGTCGCTACCAGTTGATACTGAGCAGAGTTTTCTCCCATAAACTGAACCAACCTGAAACACTAACTCCATCAGCATAATTCCACCAGGAGAAGACCTCTGTAAGTAACACTGGAGGGCTTTTGGCGGACTGTCCTTTCTGTCTTTAGACGAGGCTTGTTTCTTCATGTCAGCTGGACTGGATTCTCTCTTTGGTCTGACGCTGACAGCTGCACGGCTAAGATGCCTAAAATGGTAAAAGTGATGTTAGCATTGATTGTTCTGCTGTGCAATGTGGTTGTTCTGTTAAGTCTGTGGATGAAACCCTAGTGTGTGACCATTCGGATGAAAGCTATTGAGCAGTACTTTCATGTAGTACTGTTTATTATGCTGTACAAGGTGGTTCGGACTTTTAAGTCTGTGGATGAAACCCTAATGTGTGACCATTCAAATGAAAGCTACTGAGCAGTACTTTCACGTGGTACTGTTTATTGTGCTGTAAAAGGTGATGCTAACTTTTAAGTCTGTGGATGAAACCCTAGTGTATGACCATTCAAATGAAAGCTACTGAGCAGTACTTTCACGTGGTACTGTTTATTGTGCTGTACAAGGTGATGCTAACTTTTAAGTCTGTGGATGAAACCCTAGTGTGTGACCATTCAAATGAAAGCTATTGAGCAGTACTTTCATGTAGTACCGTTCGTTGGTTAAAATGGGAATGTTTCTGACATACCTTCTAGCTTGTTTGGGTGATTGTGGCCTGGTCTGTACCACAATAAACTGCAGTGACTGCATGTACTGCACGTATTGCTGTATATACGCAGATCGTAGCTCTTGGTGCCAGGCCTCTTCGCAAGGTGGCGTCTTTCCTTTAGAATCAGTTGATGCTTCCTTCTTCGTTTCTAACGATGAAAAATAAACAATATTTCCAGCAATCTAAACATTCTCCAAGCAACCTGAACACTTCAAGTGGCTGGCAAAACTAAAGGAAGCGAACCGGATTCTAGACAAGAAATTAGCTCGACCAGCCAAAATAAAAGTTGTTTCGAACTTAAGGTCATTCCTCACATTTGCATTGCGCATCCTTACTGCGCATAATTTATGGCGTCATTAGCGC